ATGCTCATAATCTCAGTTTTTCAAATGGCAGTGAAACCAGTTGGCTTCCTGGGTACCCTTTTGGAAAGGGTTTAATGAAAACTTTGGCATTTTGCCTGAGCACATCTTTCTGGCTTTACAAAAACTTTAGAATAATCACTAAGATATTCTAATTTAACAAAGACATAATTAACATTTAAGCTACTTTTATTTGCCATATGTACCAGATGTGTTGAGTTTAGCCTTTAAAGGTTCTAAGGGAAAGGAGCTCCAAAATTGGAAAAGGCTTTGAGAGATTGAGGGGGTATATAGTGTGTAAGCCACTTGGGATAAGCCACCTTGATCTCCAAAAGTAAAGCAAACAGTCATGCAGAAACATTTCTGATAGCAGAAATGAGTCTTGGTTGTGGCTCTGCCATTGACGAGCTCGGGGTTTATCACTTTCTTGCATTTATTTTACTGCATATATTTATTCCCAACTAGTACACCTATACATTCTAGTCGGTTTTATGTGGACTTCTAAACTGCTTTTATGAAAAGTTAAACATTATCTTATGCCCTTTTCTTTTCCCTCCCCCAGAATATGCTCAGGTAATCAAAATGTTGGGAAATGGACGCTTAGAAGCAATGTGTTTTGATGGTGTAAAGAGGTTGTGTCACATCAGAGGGAAATTGAGAAAAAAGGTAGGTGTGGAGATTTGTTTTAGTTTAATACAAAATTGTGATTAAGACGGGGAATGGCTCTACAGTTTTTATGGGCCAAGGACCTCGTTTTTGTAAGTTACCAAAAGAGTTCAGAAGAGCAGTGATTTACAAATTCTATTTGAAGACTCATTTGCATCACCTATGTTGTATTCCTGCCGAAAATGTTTAACCTGCATCTAATCATAAGTAAATAATCGACAAATCCAAATTGAGGGACTCTCACAAGTGGCCTGGCTTTTAATACATTGTTAGTGTCAGGAAAGGGGGAAAAAAGGCTGGGGTGCTATTAAGTGTTACATTAATGTTAAATTTCCTGAATTGTGATCATGAATGGGCTGCCTTGGAAAGTAATGACTAATTTCCTATCACAGTAGGTATTCGGGCAGATTTATTAATTAGATTGGTTAAAAGTCCCTCCAACTCTGATTTTATGATTTAAAAAAAAATTTTTTTGTTTGTTCATCCTTCTTTTAACAAACTAAAGGGTTGGGGTGGGGGAGTAGAAGGAAGGAAGGGAAGGAGGGAGATGAAGCCAGGTTTCTAATTTTCTATTATATGTAATGGGTAGATAGCTAACCACTTAGAGTGGTTCACTATGAGAAAAATCCCTTAATTTTTAAATTAATCATCATTCCTCTGGAATTACTAAACTTATCAGGTAATTAAAATAAGAGTATTTTTTTAACATCCCAAATTACAGAAAAATTGAAACAGGCACAACTGCTTGCTATAGTTTGGTTTTTGGTTTTGTTTTTTTCTTATTTCTAAATAAAGGAAATAGCTGGGTAAATAGCATTTTATGGGAATGCTGAATCAGTGTTACTCTTGATTCTTTATTTCTTTTATAGGTTTGGATAAATACCTCAGACATCATATTGGTTGGTCTACGAGACTACCAGGTAAAAAATTAAATAAAATTTTTATTCACTTGCTTGATTCTGATGACCCATTAATGTTAAGAACATGAGTCATAACTGTATTTGACCAGTCCCATCCTAGTATTCCCCTCACCATTGTATCAGCAAACATTTCATAAGGCATTGTGCTAGGTACCTCAGAGATTATGGTTCCCAATTTCCAGTCTGTGGAGTTCACATTTTCGTGACCCTTCGGTGCACAGGCCAACTACCACCAAGCCATACCGGCCAGGACCCCCACCCCAATTTTTTAAAAAATGTATCCATCTTGAAATCAAAATCTGGAAGCTGTTACTCACAGGGCTACAGCTGAATGATGCCCCCTGCCATCCCACAAGATGTATACAGCCTGGTAATGAGGGTAATAAGAAAGGCACACAGGTAATTACAGTATAAACCATGATATAAATATGTACTCTAAATTTAGATCAGCACTTAGGTAAGAAAATGGTAGTTTGCCCCGATGATCTCAACCTGGAGACATTGTGGGTCTGTGAAATCTATTTGGTTCTACCTCTAGAACTTATCACTGTCTGTTAAGTCACATTGTGTGTGATAAAACGTTTCTATTTTTATAACTTTAGTCATACTTTGATTTCTAAAATCTATACATACTCCAGAATAAAGATTTAAAATCTTTACTTTAAAATCAATGGTTCTCAACCATGGGTAATTTTATTTTACTTTTATTTTTTTTTTAAGTCTTAGGGGCCATTTGTCAGTGTTGGAGACATTTCTGGTTGTCACACATAAGGGAGGGGGACAGTGCTACCGGCATGTAGTGGTTAGAGACCAGAGATACTGCTAAACATCCTACATTGCACAGAACAGGCCCTACAATGAATAGTTATTCAGCCCAAAATATCAGTAGTGCTGAGGTTAAGAAAGCCTGCTTTAGATTCACACCATTTTAATGTCCGTTTTATTTTGACCTCAAAAATAACCCCAGAAGTAGAGAGAATAGTTCCCTGTTTGACAAATAGGAAACCAAGATGCCAAAGGGTATAACATTCTGACTAGATAATGACAGCCAAGACCAACTTTTCTGATTCTTAATTTCTCATGATCCTCCTTCTCTTCCCCTGCCACTTAAAGGGTGGTCCAGGAACCAGTAGCATCACTAGCTTTTGGGGAACTTGTCGGAAATGCAGATCGTTGGACTCTACTCCAAGCCTCCTAAATCAGAATAGGCATTTTAACAAGACCCCTCTGGGCTTCGATACACATTACAGTTTAAGAAATGCAGGTCTGAATCACACTGCCCTTGCGTCACTGTAATCATTTTTGTTGCCTTTGAAACAATCAGCTTCAGCTTTTTTTTCTACCTTAACGAAGTCATATTTTTTCTTAAATGAGGATGTGTGAATATCTAAGTCATTAGTTTTCAGTGGGACATTTGCATCAGAAACACCCAAAAAGCTTTTAAAAATATGAATTCATGGCTTCACTCTACATCTACTAATCTATCTTCAGGAAGTGTAAAAGCTCCACAGGAGATTTTGATCAATTCTACCTTAGGAACCACTGATACATGGAAAGGTGTATGAATTTCCTTAGTTCATTACACCAGTCTCAATTTTTTAATTAGAGTATTTAAGCACCCAGTAAATTATGGTCCCAGGGAATTTTTGTATTTCAAAAGACTTCTAATCAAGGGTAATGGTAAATAATCCATGAGATTGGGTCTGCACAGTTCTGTTCTCATTAACGTGAGATCTGCGAAGGCCTCCCCTAAGCTTGTTGATCATTGTTTATGTGTTTCACACTGGGTTAAACCTGAGGATGTTTCTCAGAGGGTAGGAGAAAATGTAATATTTTGCCATAATTGGTTCTAAAAGTGATTTTTCTCTTTTTAAGGATAATAAAGCTGATGTAATTTTAAAATACAATGCAGATGAAGCGAGAAGTCTGAAGGCATATGGCGAGCTTCCGGAGCATGGTAATGTTTGAGTTATTATATTAACCTGTCGTGGTGCTGTTACCTGGTCAGTTGTATTAACGTAACGGGATTTGGGTAGAATTCTGTGGATTTTGCATATCTACTGTTGTGCTTACATGATTTATTTTAAGTCTGACTGCCTATACTTCACAGTACTAGATGCCTTAAGGAAAAAACTGAGATTCTGTTTTTAATAAATACAATTTTGGTGAGGAGTTATATTTTATAAGCCCTGGACTTCTGTGTAATTACCAGTCAAAGGAAAAGTATTGTAGTATTTCTTTTAAAAATTTATATCTTAAAGAGACTGTCAGTGTTCGTCTAACTTTAAATGTGAAGCAAGGATAGTAATTAGGTACTACTGTTGATTATTATTGAAAAGGCAGCCTTCAGTTCATCATACCCTAGTACCACAGTATCCCACAAGATTTTTTAAGCCAACGTTCTTTGTTTCCTCCCCCAATACAAAAGTTAGGCATTCTTAATGAAGAGAACTTAAGTAAAACAAAAAAAAATAAGTACCTCACAACCTTATCAAAGGGAAAATATACTTTACATACTGTTTAGTAAACCTGCATTTTTTTCATTTGGTAGTTCCTTTTTATTTTTTTGCCCTGTTACGTATTATCATGAAAACAATATATTTTGCATCATATCTTATATTTTGATGCATCTCCAAACCATTAGAATACTCACGCATTTGTGAATTTTTAAACACATAGTACTATAGACCATGAAACTCCTGCTGAAATGAATTACTTGGCATTTCCAATCTAGGAAATGCTAATATATCTGGGAATAGAACTAGCACTTTTTGATTCGTTTTCATTGCTTAGGTATAGCATGATTTTGCCAAATCTTTCTGATTGAAAAGTCTGATGGTTGATGAATTATTAGGGTGTGCTCAAACCTTTTTTAAAGCATAGCTGGAAGTTGTGTCATTAGAGTCTGCCTTGCTGAAAACACCTTGATAAACCAAAAGAAAATTATAACCCAGGTACATTCCATCTTGACTTAGTAGACACTTTGTTGGAGGTTTTCTTGTATCAAATACTGTACTGTATAGTAGCATTGTTAGGTCAAAGTTAGGATCTTTCTGATCATAAAACTTAGATTTAAAGTTTGAGTTGTAAGAGTCTCCTTTTATAGTTCAACATTTGATATCAGACCACTTTTAGTGGTCAATTATTCATTTTAATAACATCTTGGTTATGTTATATGAGTGTATTTATTATTGTTTCTTTAGCTAAAATCAATGAAACTGATACATTTGGTCCTGGCGATGATGATGAAATTCAGTTTGATGACATTGGCGATGACGATGAAGACATTGATGATGTAAGTAGATGCACCTTGCGTTTTTCAACTTTTGTGAATTATCCACAGAGAAACCAGCTCTTTCCCTTAGCTTCCTTTAATCTAAGAATCTTGAATACTTAAGTAAGGATATATTTTGAGACTTGTCCATGAATTAAAATACTCAGGAGACAACTAATCAAACTGTTTATACTTTGAGGATTCATTTATTTTCAACATTTTTTCCTAGAAAGATCAATATTTGCTTTGGCAATATGAATGCTAGGCATTGGGAAGCATAACTTGTTTAATTAAGAGGGTCTAAAAATATATCCTTACTTAAGTA